TTGCTGCACACAGGCAAGCTGCATATGGGCCAGGGCGGAAGCCGCATTGCAGTAGAAGACCCTCCCTGGCTTCCCAGGTCACCCTCAGCAGCGAGATATCATCCAGGACGAACTCCTGTGGAAAATGTTGGGACAGTGTTCAGTGTAGGTGCCCCCTGAAGCTGTTGGCTCTCCTCAAGGCACAGAAACCCAGAGGACAGTGCAGCCCTGAAACAATCAGTCCCCCTTACTCACCATTTTGAGGCTCCCGTGGGATATGTGTGCTCTGTTTCAGACGGGAAAATTATGCTATTGTGTAGACCCTGTGTGTTTTCTACTCCTTAAGTGCAGGGGGAATCATTACTCTGTATGCTATAAACAATGCTGCCTCTGTTAAATGTTGCATTTTGCATATACAGCTGCATCAACCTTGAGACCTCAGCCGTCCCTGTTATTGCCTGCTCAGAGACTGCAAAGACTCAGGAAGAGACCGCGAAAAAGCAAAGAAGACATGCTGCAATAAGTGATGCAGCAATCTATTAAAGAGAATGAGAAAGCACAGAACTGGAGGGAGAGAGAAAGCAGGATCCGCCAGGAAAACGCAGCACACCGGCGGCAAAGCACGGAGCACCAGCAGCAAAGCACGGATTGGCTCGTAAGCACCCTGGAGCGCCAAGCAGACGCTATCCAGGAGCTTGTAGCCATGCAGAAAGAGGAGCAGTACAGCAAACGCTAATGCCACCCCCCCCCACAGCCCTTGTCCCCAAACTCTTTCCGTTGGGCCCCACTGTCACCTCCAGCCCCGGAGCACCCAGGGAGTCGGCACCTAAGGCACCACTTTTGCAGAATGCGGTCAGTGGAGGAGTGGCCACTCCCCCTGCTCCCTGCCTAGCTACGCTCCTGCCCAGAGGTGCCGGGTCTCTGAACTGCCAGGCCCAGAGGTGTTGAGGCTCTGAACTGCCAGGTCTGGAGGTGCCAGGGCTCTGAACTGCCAGGCCCAGAGGTGCTGAGGCTCTGAACTGCCAGGCCCAGGGGTGCTGGGCCCCCTCTAGATCTCTTTATCCCACCTTCACAACTGTGCTGACCCACCCTGTTTGCAGCTTTTTCCAGATCTAGCTACTTCCTAAAGGCAATTTGCAAAACTAGCACTGCTGGGCTCATCTGGACCCCATGCCTCTCACACTCACCGTGAGACTCAGGCCACTAGCCCCCGACAGCAGGCAGCATGTTGTCTCTGAGCAGGGTTGTGTCTCTCTGCACTCTGGCATCTTTGGCTCTTTTGTAACTGCCTCCGCCCTGCAGGCTCCACCTCTCATGGGTGTATCCGGCGTTGACATCAGTCCACGGAACTCCCTGCCAGTGGATGTTGCTCAGGCTGACAGCTCAGCCTCAATGTGTCAAACGGCTCTGTCCCATCTCTAGTTACCCACAGCATCCTGCTTGGCTCCGTCAGGATGGTGCCTGAGCTGTAGCAAGGCTGTCGAGAGTTTCCCTGCCTCCGTCCAGGGTTGGCTTCTTTTCAATCATTCTTCCAAGGGATTTTGTTTCATAAATGGCAAATTGAACAACATTGTCCTGTTGTTGTGGTGACTTGTGGCCTAAGGCCTGGTCTACACTGGGGGGGGGAGGAGGGGGGAGAATCGATCTAAGATACGCAACTTCAGCTACGAGAATAGCGTAGCTGAAGTTGACGTATCTTAGATCGAATTAAAATTACTTACTTCGCGTCCTCACGGCACTGGATCGATGGCAGCGGCTCCCCCATCGACTTTGCTTCCTCCTCTCGCACTGCTGGAGTTCAGCAGTCAACGGGACAGCAATCGGGGGTCGATTTATCGAGTCTACACTACATGCAATAAATCTATCCCAGATCGGCGGGTAGTGTAGATGTACCCTTGCTTGTAATCCTGTTTCTTTAGACTTAGTTAATCATTTTATTGTACATTTGCCTTTGATACTGGGCTGGACTCAATACTTGATGTATTGAGTTACTTCTCAGTACAGTTACTTCTGTGTAATCAACAGATCGTATCGCTCCTTTAGTTAATTTTTAGTCTGTCTAATCCAGTTCTTTGCTCCTTATCCTCTCCATCATCCTGCCAATACTCTGTGCTCAGGTTTGTTTCTCAGAGACTCAGGAGATGGGAGAGCCACAGCCCAACTCCCTCGGGCTAGTGCAGATTTTTTATTAAAGACTTAATAGTGTTATTTTTCACTAAGGAATAATCTCTAACTACCAACAGAGAGGGCTCCAAGACAAGGCAGCAGGATGGGAGAGATGTGTATGAAGGGAGATGGAAAAGGCTGGGACTGTAAAAGGAGACAAATGAGAGAGGATGTGCTAGAACAGCGGTCCCCAAATTTTTGGGGGTCATGCCTGCCTTACCTCTGTTTGCAGCCCCCACTCCTCGATGGCTCAGGGGGCGGGGGGCAGCAGTAAGGGGACCGAGGCTGGGGACACAGCTAGGAGTGATTCTGGGGCCGGAAGTAGGGCTGTGGCCAGGGGCCAAGGCTGGGGGCGGGGGCAGGAGTGGAGCCAGGCCAATGCTGGGGACGGGGCCAAGTGTTGGGCTAGGAGCCCGGGACACAGCAGTGGGCAGGACCGGAGCAGAGCTGGGGGTGGGAGGGCCCAGGTGGCTGTGCCTTTACAGGTGTGGGTTCAAATCCCACTGCTGCTAATTGCCCCCTGTGCAAGGGGGATTCACACACTTTGGTGTAAAGAGGAGGGGTGACTGATTTAGACAGAGTTGTTTTCAAACCAACTTTAGAGAGTTAGGGACTCAATATAGTCACCAATTAAAGCAGGACTTTCTAACCCACTCTCAGCCTTTCCAGTGCTCTTTATCCCGTCTTAGCAACTGTTGCTGCCCAAGCGTGTCTGCTCCTCTTTCCAAACCTAGCCTCCTTGCAAAACAGGTCTGATCCATGATTGGAACCCTGACCCTCTTAACACCCAAAGGGGGCATCATACCCCAGGCTAACAAGCCACCTGGCTGAGTCTTCTACACTAGGGGTACTCAATAGGCCTGACGCAGGCCAGATCCGGCCTGCCAGATGCTTTTGGACAGACCCCAAAATCTTTGTATGTACTTATTATTATTCTCATTATTGTTTTATTATTTTCTCTGGAGTCTGGACCTTGACTAGACCTTGACCAAGCAATTTGGACCTTGACAAAAAATAATTGACTACCCCTGTAAATCTACACAGTCCTTGATGCGTCACTCTGCAGTCATGACTCTTTGACCTCTGTTGTGACCATGGGGCCTACAAAGCGTTCCCCTGTTGGGAGCTCAAATGTAAAGCGTATGGGAAAGTGCGTGCCATGAAAAACAGGTCAAGGTGTTAACCCGCCACAAGGGGGTGCACAGAGATGGCATGTGGAACTAGAAATGAATAGACCAAAATTGGTGTGACTAATTTGGGGACGCAATAATGAGCAGGGTGAAACATGCTGCCCACTTGTCCCCTTTTTGGGTTTCTTAAAAAGAGGCTTTGACAAAACATATGATCAGTTCAGGCCTCGCCCTCTTGTCCCCCGGCCCAGCTTGTCTCGCCTCATCTTCCCTACCCTGCCAGCAGTGCAGCTCAGCTGTCGTCCTGAGAGGGGAACGCCCAGGCTTGCTCTTGGCTAACGAGCATTGTTTTTTCCCTGTGAAGGCTGAAAGTGGTTGCCTGGTCATGCCAGCTGATTTGTGTGTGGACAGAAGGGGGGCATGGCTCAAACCTGAATCAGCGCCCGGGATTAGTGTAGACATACCAAAGGACTGTCAGCTGGCTGTGAAGCTCCACACCTGAGTTGTTAAGCACCTACTATGCTCTAGGCATGGCTGAATGACACCTACTAGCAGCAATTAACCGTAGTCTCCTGTCCACAAACTTTAGCTTAACTCTGTGCATTGAGTTTTCACCTCTTAGAATCAGGATTCAGCCCAAAGCAGTGTTTTCCCCAGGGATTGTAATACAAGGGGGTGTTCAAATGTATGGGGTGGGGATTGTAAAACCATTAAATTGGCAACGCTGATGTAACTCATTGATCACTGGGGGAGGAGGATGGGGGAGTTCAGGGGGGTGTTCACCCAAAACCCTCATGGCCACATCTCAGGGGGCTCAGAATTATAACCACTGTGGCAGAGCCGGAAGAGACATGTCCTCCTTGCAGATCAAGCACCATTTGGGTTGATTTCTGATTAGGTCTTCAAGGGGGTCTCTAATGAATAATGACTTTATTCAAGCAATGGTACTGTTTGGCTAATGGAAATGGAGGTGGGGCCAAGAACTGGAACTAGGGAGACTGGGACAGAAAATTCAGGGCTTAGGACCATTTCCTAAAGTTTCAGTTCTTGTGAGTTTGCTGGTATATTGGGACTCCTGGGTTCAAATCCTGGAGGAAGCCTGGTGAGAAATCTTCCTGAGCATCATTTTCCAGAGCTGCTGGGCTCCATACGTTCCTGTTGGGTCAACAGAAGTTCTGGCTGTTTGGTGCTTCTGAAGAGCAAGCCTGAGCATGAGCATGGATGTGGCTCGAGCCTGAGCATATATGTGGCTGCTTGGCTGTCGCTGAGAATTTTCCACGTCTAATTCTCATTCAGACCAGAGACTGGAAAGAGACAGCTCTTCTGGAAAGTTAATAGGAGCTGGGCATTCAGGTCCCATTTGGAAACCCCCACCCCTACCTGAGCCATTGGTCTGGGCTAATGACAAAACCGGAGTCAAACCCTAATATGGAAGGACTGTCCATAAAACTCCTTGCGCGTGGTTTATTATCCATATTGCAGTTGTAGTGTGCCTGGCGCTGCACAAACACAGAACAAAGCGACAGGCCTGCCCAGAGAGCTGGCGCCTAAGGAAGGTCCGAGATTGGATCGAAGGAGGATTCGGGGTTGATCTGAGATGGGTTAGAGGTTGGATCTGAGGAGGATTCGGGGGTTGATCTGAGTAGGGTCAGAGGTTGGATCGAAGGAAGATTTGGGAGGGGATCTGAGGAGGAGTCGGGGTTCATCTGAGATGGGTTAGAGGTTGGATCTGAGGAGGATTTGGGGGGGGATCTGAGGAGGATTTGGGAGGGGATCTGAGGAGGGTCGGAGGTTGGATCAAAGGAGGATTCGGGGTTTGATCTAAAGAAGGTCAGAGGTTGGATCTGAGGAGGATTTGGGAGTGGATCTGAGGAGGGTCGGAGGTTGGATCAAAGGAGGATTTGGGAGGGGATCTGAGGAGGGTCGGAGGTTGGATCTGAGGAGGGTCAGAGGATGGATCCAAGGAGGATTCGGGGGTTGATCCTGGTAAGGTCTGGGTTTGGATGCAGGAGTTGGTGGGAGGACTTAGTGTCCCTTAGAGAGATCATGACTCATCCCCCTCCCCTGCCTGGCTCTCAACCTGTGTCTCGAAGTGGACTGGTTCCCCATCGACGCAGGCGATGACGATCCTGCTGGTACTACTGGACCCGCTGTAGTCACAGTCGGGGGGATCAGACCCTCCTTGGAGCTCACAGACAGTGAGGGGGAAGGGGTCTTCGCTGAGGCGCAGGTCTCCTCCGGCTGGCTCCCCCCCGTCCCCGCAGATGGGCTCGATCTGGTTGGCACTGCTGTGGATGAAGGTGTTGAGGTGTTTGCACTTGTGGGCAGTGGCCATGTCCCGGCGCCGCATCAGGAGGTTGCAGTAGCGCCGGACGTCTGGCGGGCTGGGATCAGAGGCATCCACATGCTGCCTCAGGAACTTCTCGTAGCGCGACTCCCCTCGGGCCAAGGCCAGACCAGTGACCAGCAGGACGAGGGGCAGCAGGAGTGCGGGGCGGGCTCCCCTCAGGGCCATGGCCAAGTCTGTCCCTGGATCAACCTGCAGTGGGGAGAGAGGGGGGAGATGGATGGAGACAGAGTGGTGTGGGGATCTGCCTCCTCCATGGAACCTCCTGGGCACTGCCCAGACCCTGACCAAGATCAGGGTCCCCGTTGTGCCAGGTGCTGCACAGACCCTGACTGAGATCAGGGCCCCGTTGTGCCATGCGCTGCCCAGAACCAGAGATCAGGGCTCCCATTGTGCCAGGTGCTACCCAGATCCCAACTGAGACAAGGACCCTGTTGTGCTGGGTGCTGCTGTGATGTTTCTTCAGGTGTCTGGAGCTGTAAGTCACCCCATCACCGCCCTGCCTCAAAGCGAGAGAGATTTGCAGCTGCTAAAATGAGTCTGCTCCCCACCTCTCCCGTCAGCCAGCTGGCCTGGCACACTCCTCTGGTCCTGGCACACCCTGGCCTTGCCTTGCAGGTAGCCCTTGGGGCTCTCCAGTTCCCCAGCTTTTCAGAAGCATCTCCCTGCAGCAGGCAGCCCAGACAGGCAGAGAAATCACCCAGGCCAGCATCTCCAAAGAGCCAGGACATGGCCATGCTGGTGGCCCTGCTGGGTACCACCCCTCCCTTCAATATCACAGCACTGAGATGGATTTATAACCAACCAGGGTCCAGTCCTGACTAAAGAAAAGAGCTTTCTGCGCCATGAAGCAGAGAGACCAGAGGCTAAAATGGTCACAAAGAAAACTCACGTGCAACCTCCGTCCCCAGTGACTCAACCTGCCCTCAGCCGGCCACAATCCACAGCGAAGCTCCCTGTCTTACCTAATGTGACTTCTTGGTGTCCCTCTCCCATGTGGCTAGAGACCCGCTGCGCAAAGCTACAGAGAGACCCAGCTGCTATGTCCCGACGTGGTGGCCAGAAAGGCGATCTCTCCCCTTCTCCTTATAGTCCAACTGACCTTAGACAGGCCAGGTAAAGGTCTCTGCCCTGCTGACTGTTCTCCAATCAGCTGACACACTCCTGCCTCCCTCACCCGTCTCTCAGCTGGCTTTTCCTGTTGACTCAGATGCATGTAACTTCCTAAGTCTCCGGCCTTAGTCAGAGTAGTAAAGCCACATTCCTGTGATGAGGATGAACTTGTAGATCAAGTCTGTCCCTGAAACACGTGTGAGGACTATCTGTGTGGCACATACCTCGTTATGCACCCTCTGTGCCTACGTCATGCCATGGTGTTACTGAGCAGTGTGTCACCAGTTTTCCTTTGCTGCGCCTTGCAGAGAAATACTGTGACAGTTAGGGGCAGTGAGATGAATTTCTAACAAAACAAGGGTACGTTTAGGACTAAAGAACAGAGCTTCAAGTGCCACAAAGCAGAGAGAATAGAGACAGAAAATGGTCACAGATAAACCACAAGTATAACCTCACTTCCTAGTGACTCAACCTGCTTTCAGCCAGCGACAACCCGTAGCTAAGCACCTCAGTGTGACCCTGAGTCCCCGTGTTCACACCCTGCACTTATTGTCATAATCTCCATGCCAAGGATGCCATGCAAGGTAGCATTTAAAGAGTAATGACAGCCTGATGGGTAATATTCATGTGGAATGTGTGCACGAAATGCATAGCCAGAGTTATGAACATGAGCAGAGAGTATGACTGCAACGTGTTTGCCAGGAGAGTCTGGGGGCAGGCTGAACTGGGTTCACAAAGACAAAGCACAAGCCGATGACTCTGGTCAGGAGTAAGCAAAGTTGAGGGGCCCTCTGTGACAACGCGGTTCTGGCGGAACCCAACTGAGAGTGCCAACTCAGGACAAATTGCTCAAATAGGGCAGTTACAGCCCAAGGCTGGGGTTTTTTCCACCTCTAAGGCAAACCAAACCAGCCAGACTAAGAGGACTTCAGTCTCACCCCACTGGCTAACTGCAAGTCTCACAAGCAATCTCCTTAGATACTCCAGTTTCCCAGTATTACCACCAGTACCACTCGTTATGGGGACAAATGGTATGAAAACCAATACCCCAGTAAAAGAAAAAGGTTCTCCTGATCCCGAAGGACCAAGCCCCAGACCCAGGCCAATATACAAATCAGATCTTACCCACAAATCACGCTGTTGCCCCTCCTTTAGAATCTAACATATAATTGTCTATTCATAAAAGGAAAAAGATAGAGATGAGAGTCAGAATTGTTTACATCAAATCGATTACATTCGGGTATGGCAAAGGTCCTAAGGCTGTCTCGA